TTCATTGGTTTGGATCAATATGATGTAACATTATTGATATTACTTCTCATCTCTTTAGTCTTCAGATGGGAAAATGGTTAAAGTAGATCAAGCCAACAGATGACCTTTATAAAGTGGTACTCCATGGAGTTTACCACTAACTTCAAATATCACATGATCTCACCTTTCACAGCAAGCTCAACAACACAACAATCAAGTAGGCAAAATATAACTAAAGACACTGAAATAGAGAACAGGTGGAAAGTGACCAGAGGGGAGAGTGGAGGGACTTTCAGGGGAAAAGGACAAAGACTTACAGGTACTGGTACAAAGGACAAATGAACAAGGGCTAAGGGGGGTGAAAATGGGACTGTGCACTGGTAGGGTGGGCTGGGATGGGAGTGAAAGACAGGAAACTGTACTTGAACAGCAATGAAATATATTTAAAAATAATAAAAAAGAAAAAATGAAAAAGTAAAAAGAAACAGAAAAAAAAGAGGATGTGCAAGAAGTCTGCAAGGTGGATGAGGAGCAAGTGGTGGAGCCAGAGAGCATCCCTGGGTTTAAAACACTCACCTAAAGTTTTAACCTTTAGGTTAAAAGGTGAGGAAGACACCATTGGAGTGCAAAACCAGTAAGTTTGCACAGATAGAAATATCTCAATTTATATTTAACCTTTCAGGAAAAGAAAAATCTAAGCTTCTTGAGATAAAGATTTAACATTGATGATTCAAATGATGGCAAAGTGCTAAAAGTTCTAATAGTCATAAAAGTGAGGGATATAGTTTCTATGCAAAACATCTCAATCACCTTGTAGTAAAATGATGCGAACTTTGAGCTAATTTAATGCATTTTACTATTCTTAGTTGTTGCCTCTATCCCCTTGAACTGTTTTCTACAGATCTCATCTCTGGTGACCATATATTAGAGCCTTCCACTTTGGGGCCTTGTACTTCATGGAGTAAAATTGGTGGTTCATACATAATGACATATCCAATATCCATTTGTGTATTTATTCTGAAACAAAGCTCACTTTATCATACAAAATCAGTTCATCTTGAAACAGACCCAACACAATAAAACTCAATCAGAATACACACAACACTGGGATAGATACCTGATATTTTAGGACTGACCTTCCAATGCTTGTTCTCTGTATGAACATTTGCAAACACACCTAGGTCTGATTACTTAGATGTGGCTTTTCTACCTGCATTTGGTGTAAAAAAATTTGTATGTGGGAACGTACTTCAGGGAAATATGTAGAACTTTATACAGGTTCCCAAGAGTGCCCCTGACCCAGGCAAAGATGAAAAAACCTCTGCTTAGCAATGGGTGAATTTCGCTCTTTGGTTTGTGCACAGGAAATGTACACTGGTCAAGATATTAATAAAATAGCTGTGGCTGATGTGGCTGAGTGGACTGTGTGCTGGCCTGCAAACCAAATGGACAGGAGTTCCATTCCCAGTCTAGAGCACGTGCCTAATTTGTAGACCAGGTCCCCATTGGGGGCCTGTCCCTGTCTTTCTCATTCCCTCCCCCTCTACAGAAGTAAGTCAATAAAAGCAATTCAAAAACATATCTGTGAAGTGTTTTGAGGGAAGTTTTCTTGTCTTCACTAAGTATGAAAGGGAGGCACCTTTGATTTTAAAAAAAATCCATGTACCTGAGAAATTTGGTTTCAGGTGCCCAACCAGCACCCCCAAATCAAAGAGTTAGCGTGTCTAACTGACAGCTTTGTGTGGACACAAAGCCCAGGGCATGCTTTGTGCTCACATAAGGCAGTGCCACCATGCCTCAAGTGGAACTGCTCAAAGGTGGGGAGCAGTCCTACTTGTTGCACAGCACCCTGGGCCACTCACCCACAGTGCTCAGGTGCTGTGGAAGTTCTCACCTCCTCACACTTACTCTGTGTGCACAGGGTCCACCTGCTACCCTGTACACATTTTTGACCCTCCACCTGACAGCCTTGGGAACCTCTGCGCCCCAGATCAGGCTTACTTTTCTCAGAGGTCTTTCTTGGTGCAACAACTCACACAGGAACGCCTGCCCCTTAGGCTCCTCAAAAACAGGTCCTGCTCGGGGATCCCTCCACTGGGGCCTCCCTGCCCTTGGCTTAATACCTGAGGAAATCAGCCACAGGTCCTCACCTTGGGGCTGAGGTGAAGTCAGTGCAAACCCGTGTGGTCCCAGGCAGCTTGCACAAACCCAAGGCCCAAAGCAGCAGCCTTTCTCACCAGGGCCAGTACAGCCTGGCCTCAGCAATCTTGCCCGACATTGCCTCCAGCCTTGGCTCCCTGAGCACCACATGCCCCCTCCTCCAGGCAAAGTCCTACCTGCCACCTTCTCCCTGCTCTCTGTGCTGCTACTCTGAGGTGCTAACTAAGCCAGGGGCTCCCTCAGCAAATCCCATCAGGTTCCTGGTGATGTGAAACACCACACAGCATGCTTTAGATGCCCTGCTGGAGGAAGATGCAGTGGGCCTCCCTTGAAAGGGCTCAATGGAATGACTGGGGACATCCTGGTTGTCAGAGAGGTCCAAGAGGATGTTGGGACCATGTCTGTAACCATGAGTGCAGCTCTAGTTGTACTTATCTGGGTCCAAGTGCCAGGGCCCCGTTCAGGGCAGGATGTTATAGGGCAGGACGTGCAAGCAAACCATGGAGGACAGGCCCTGGGCATGGCTTTCCATGACAGCCCTGGCAGAATGGCTTTCTGGCATGGGAACAAAGCACCATCGAAGGGATTCGCTGTACATGCACTGAGTTTTCGCCACTCAGCTGAGGCCTGGAAAGGGACACAGTCATCTCCTCAGAGCCTACACCACTGTGTCCTTGGTTGCAGGGACACACACTGGTACTGGCTAGCCAAGTAGCATGGACTCCTAGGAATCCTGTGAGTGTGGAATTCCCCTGGAATGGTGGTGAGGGAAGACTTTGCAAATGACTATGGAGGTACTGGAAGTCAAAAGTATATGTTCCTTTCGCTCCGGGATTGTCTGGGATTTGCAGGTGGGAGGATGCAGCAGTAAACGCCTGCACCAGCATCAGCCTCTGACTGGGACCTGGTCCATCCTGAATGGCACCGCTTCCCAATCCCTGGGGCTTCATTTTCTTTCCCAGACCACACCCAGACCCCCTGACTCCTTCACAGGGAAGGAAGGCATTGCCCTCAAAATGCCCTGGGGCTACATCCCTGGAAGGCCCACCCCTACTTGACCCATCTGCAAAACAGGGGAGGTTTGTGGCCGTACTCCTCACTTTGGGAGAAGATGTAGTCGAATTGCTTGTCTGTGCCTTTTCTCCCACACATCCCAAGAAACAAACCAAGAGTGCATCAGTGGGCCATCACCATGCTGAATGTAGATCAAAGTGTCACCTTTGGTCACCTGCCCTGGCCTGTGACCTTCGGAACTTATGGCAGCCCCTAGGGTAATGAGTGCTGTTCACAGGAGGCCACATCCTCCTGAGGAAGAGTGGAACCCTAACCCAAAGAGAAGGCTTAATGTCCCCGGATGCATTATGTAGGGGGCACCCCATACAACTTCCGTTACCTTCCTGCCTCAGTGACCCAGGGAGGGGGCTGAGCTCCTGTGTCCGAGCATGAGGTAGCGCCCTGGCTTCGTGTAGTCCTGTGCCAACTGAGCCTTCCACCAGGGGTCTTGCCATACACAGCTTCACCTCCTCACTACATTTCCCTGTGCTTCTGACCCCCCTGCACAGTGCCCCTAAGTGTGCCTTGTTGCCCAGGACCCAAGGCCTAAGAGGCTGAGAGTCTCAGCAGAAGACAATCACTCACCCCTGTCTCCGACCACTGGAAAGGAACTCCTGCCTTCCTGCGTGCTACCTCCTCTTAGGGGTTTAGGGCCATCCACTGAGGACCACCCTGAGGGGTCTCACATGCGGAACAGTGAGCACTGGACACTGGAAGCCCTCGGGGGCCAGAGTCTTTCCCTCAATGTCCTTACCTTCCTAGGCAGAAGGGTAGCACCCAGTGAACTGGCCTTTCCCTTCTTGCTTTTTCATGCCAGCCCCAGCCTGGTGAGAAGAACTGCACCTCCCAATGCTTTCCATAGCAAAACTTACCACTTCCACAGTGGTATGGGCCCAGCCCTGCCATGGTCATTGATGTGGTGGGAAGACACTAATATGCCTGCCTTGTCTCAGGGCAGCAGCCTAACAAACTACACCCAGTCACACATACTTGCTCTTGTTTATTTTTCTTCCAGTTTCACTCCATGTACAGAATCCATTTGTCTCTGCCTGAAGACTTCCTGGGCTGATCCCTCTTCAGTCATTGCCTGTGTGGGAGAATAATGTTTGCTTAAAGCCCCCTTTTTGGAAAAGGCTCTGTCAATCAGATACTCCTTCAGGTGAAGTGGACCCTCTGTCTTATGTGTTGGAGCCTCAGGCAACTCCTGCCACACAACACACCCTGGCACCATCACATCCACTCTGACCACTGTGAAGCCTTGGACAAAGATGTGGAAATCTTGACAACAAAGAGAACCGTATCTGCATCGGGGTCCTCTCAACTGTCCTCCACCCATGTGTTCCACACATTCTTCCAGGACCTCTTCTCAGGGACCAGTGTTCACAGGGGCAAGGCTGCACAGGGCACTCTTGGGAATATCAAAGGCAGCTGTGAGGATCAAGGGAAGACACTCTGCCAGGTCCATCTCCTAGGTGCTACCCACTATGCTGCCTACACCCAGGTGGGGATGGAGGTCTGAGGACACTGGGCAGGCCAACTGTCAAGGAAGGGCAGGTGGTGCAGAGGATGGGGTGGTGGGCCTGGAAGGAAAGGTCAGGAAGCAGAGGCAACCAGTCACCACTGGCTCCCAGGGGCTCTGGACATGCGCACTCCTTGGCAAAAGTCACACTTCCCCTGCATGAACCCGATGTGCAATGCAGTCCTCCCAGCATCCCCTCTTACCCTGATGACCTGGTCACCTGAGGCCCTGGGCTTTAACAGCCCCAGCCTGAATGGGTCCATGAGAGAAAGAAAAGGCCCAGCTACCCCTAAACCTCGGCCCAGTACCCAGCCAAGGACTCTTCACCTGTCCTCTCCTCGGACCCCTCAACTGCTGCCATCTTCTTCCTGTAGTACTTCAGGGGATTGGACCACAGGTCACCACAGATGCACTGGAAGAGGGCACAGAAAAGGTTGGGTGGGCAGAGCTTGGATCCCCATCCCACACTACTAGGGACCACAACAAGGCCTTTTCTGACAGTGCCAGCGGGGCCGCACCTCTGCAATCCTGCCAGAGCCTGCCAGGCTGTGTTCAGAGAACCAGTTGAAGAAGTTAAGGCTGCTGTTGTTGTGCTTGCGCCTGTAGGCCTCCCGCTCATACCGCTTGTGCCACTGAATGGGAGTGGAATAGCAGGACCTGTACCCTGCAGGAAGAACGTCAGGTGAAAAGGAAACAGCCAGCAACCAAACCCATTCTTTTTCCCACCTGCACAGGGTACTGTCACAGACCTGTCAGGGTGATGAGGTACTCCTTGACAATCACATCATTGCAGAAGTAGGGGTTTCTGCGAAACAACAGCATGATCTTGCAGCGGTCACTGCCGTTCTCCACCTGCAGGGTACAGTGGGTCAGGAGGCTGAGATCTCACTCCAGGCACTGGCCCTTTCCTCTCTGCAGGCACAGCTCATTCTCCCAAGGCCCCTCCCTCTGCCCCACATTCTCTCACAGCCTCACCTTCAAGTCAGTCATGAAGCTCAGCATGCTTTCATCTTGCTCACTGATCATGGCTGACAACTCAGGGTGGTTGACAAACTGCTGTTGGTCAAGGAGCCTGCAGGTGGAATGCTGGACAGCCAGAGGCTAGGAAGTGGAGCTTGTGTGCAGAAGAGCATGGTGTAGCCTCCCCTCTCCTGCCCCTAGGACCAGTCCTTGCTTGCATAGTGCTAGGAGGCCCCCCAAAGCTTGATATCCTAACACCACCTGCACAGACACAGACCTGCTCCTTTCTCACAAACGTCTCCTTCTCCGGCTCATCCTCTGGTGGCCAGACCTTGGCAGGATATGCTTTCTTGCCCAGAGCACACAGTGCACATGCAGGCCCATGTCCTGCAGCACTCCTGGCAGCAGGAGCTGGGCAATGTGGCCTCTGTGAGCCTGGACTGCACTGCTAGCACAAAGATGAGGCAGGTCCCCTCCAGTCTGTGTCAGGCTGCCTTCTCTACCCCGAGCTTCACTGCACCACATCTAAGACCCATGAGCTCTTCTGCAGCACATCGAGGTTGCTCTGAACTATCCCAGCCAGAAACCTGTTTCCACCACTGCCCCTGCACACTGCGATGTCTACAATGCTTCCCCAAGGATACAGCTTTGGCCCAGAATCCACGCAGACTCTGGATAATGGAGCTTCTGAGTTCCAGGTGGGGCTTTCTCCTCTGCCAATTCCTTTGCTGGAGGCGGGAGAAGGCTCTCCTGGCTTGCTCATTCACGGGCTCCATCTCCAACTGGAGCGCCTCTAGCGCCTGCACAGGGGACCAGCTGAAGGGGCCCCCAGGCCCTGGACCTGGTTGCTCCTTTTTCACTGATTTCCGGCCTTCTTCCTTTCTTTCTGCCTGTGACCCCTCCTCTGCCTCCTCCACCACCTGCCCCTGCACTCTGAAGCCGGCCCTCTCTAGCACAGACTCTTCCCAAGCCGCCCATTGGCCCTGAACCCCCTGCTCCTGGTCCCACTCCCCAGCTGCTTCTGGCTGCCCTGGGACCTCATCCTCCTCTCCCTCCACTAAGGAGCCCTCAGCCAACACTTCCTCCTGCCTGCCCACATGCAGGTCTAACCAGACCTTGGCCTCTGACCCCAAACTTTCATCCTCTGCCCAAACCTGCACCACGTGTATGAGGTCTGCCCCTTCTGCCACAAACTGCTCCCCTGATACCAGTGCACTCTGTGGTCCCTGCTCCTCTTCCAATAGCTCAGCCATGGAAGCACTCTGCTGGACCTCAGGCTTTTCATGGTCCCCCAGCTGCGACTCAGCCAACACAGCCTCCCCTCTGCCCACCTCATGTGGCCTCAACTCCGCACCTGCTGCTGCCACACTTGCACTCCCTGCAGCCAAGAGACTGTCCCCAGACACCAACATTTGGTTCCCTGCCAACCCCTGGCACACGTGGTCCAGTCCCAGTCCCAAGTCTACACTGCACAGCTCCTGGGCCCTCACCTCCACAGCATCACCTTCCTGTGCCAAGGCCAACAGGGAGTCACAAGCACCCTGGGCCGCGACACCCGCCTCGGCCTCCATCATCCAATCGCCCCCTTTCGCGCCCTCTGTCTGCTCCAAGCCTTCCTCCCAGCCGCGCCAGACCCAACCAAGAGGACCCAGGAGACCTGTGCCCCAGCACTGCTGGAGGCTAACCCGGCCCGCCTTCAGAAGTGGCCCTGGCCCAGTTCCCGGACAACCTCACAAAATGCCGGCCAAAATGGTCGCCACTGTCAGGGGAGCCCTGAGCGCCACGCCCAGATCTTCCACACAGGGTTTCAAGGCGACCCTGAAGCTGAGGGCCAAGGCGCATGCGCACAGCACTTCATGCCCACTGGGCGCGCAGACCACTCCGCGGGCCCCTCTGCCCTCAGCCAGGTGTCGCATGCTGTGCACGCACATCCGGACTGCCACAAGTCTCCTCCAATCAGTGAGGTGGCCATGGGCGCCTACTTCCGGGCCCCACCTTTCAGCGCCTGGCAGGAATTCCCTTCCTCCTGGTGCCACCCCAGAGGCCCGCGAAGCCAAGCCCACTCTCAGAGCCACTTCTCGGTTTTCCCACCATCCCTCCCCTCCCCGCACCCATGCAGGGTTTCCCCACTTCTAAGACATGAGCACCACCATTAATGGACACGCCCTTCCCGTTTCTCACTTGCTAGTTACACTTTTCTCTGCCACAGGTCTCCATGAAAACACTGTTTCTTTTCTGTCTGCATTGGTGTAGCTATTCTGCCTGGGCGGTGCTGCTGGAATCACCCCCTAGGGGCCCCCTTCTTCCCCCTCCTCTGCCATAGCAGAAGCATCTTCAAGTATCACGCATGCAGCACTCATCAATACAGCCCTTATGCTCCTCTCAGGGCTCACCAAATACTCCCTTGGAGGTGGCCTGCAGGGCGTGTTTACCAGTAGTGGTTATTTACGCCATAGGACCTTGGCCACCCTGCATGTACAAGTCTTGGACGACCTGTCTTCAGTGATCTGGCGGTTGCAGATTGCAGTGTAATGCCCCAGTTAGAGGGTCATTCTGCATTGTTGTTTTTAATCTCCCCACCTTTTCAGAGCAGCTGCAGCTTTTCGATGTTTGTGTGGTGAGTTTACAGGATTCCAGATCCCCTACCTCCTCACCAAGCCTTGACACATGCCATTGCAGAAAGTATAGCCTCCCTAGCAGTAAAGTAGAAGCCCAACAGCATCTGAGCATGGTTTCAGTGTGCATTTTACTGGTGAGCATTTCAACTGACCTCCACCTCACTTGCTTTTAGGTGCTTGCATGTCTTCTCTGGAGAACGGTCGTTTAAAAGGTTGGCTATTTAAGTTTTGGGCCTTGTTGTTGGTCAGGGTTTCTACCCATGGAGGATCTTCCAATGTGTGTGTAAAGATTTCTGCTTTGTTCACTGCAGTTTTTTATGCAGGGGTTATCCACATACTGTAGACAGGACGCATTACCATGATATGGGTATTGTCTTTCCCAGGCTGAGTATTGCTAAAAATATACTGGTATTGGAAGTATTTTCCCCTTTAATCAAATAGCTGCTTGCAGTTATTTTCTTGGAAGGAGTTAGCACTATTTATTTTAATTTGGTGATTGTGATGGCTGTGGTGTGTTTTCTGACAAAGACTCCTCAGAATACCCAAGAGGAAACTCTTACAGGGATTCATCTGGGTGTTATTGTAAGAGTTCAGTATTGGTTTGAAAGTGTAGGATTAGTTTTTGTAAGCCAGAGTATTTTATAGTCAAAGTTTACTCTAGCCTAGATGGTAGATAGAAAATAGATGGGGGGGCAAGAATAGCATGGGAAATATAGAATCTAAAGAACTTGAGACACATGGACATAAACGAAAGGAGGGTAATGGTGGGGACAGGGGGTAGTGTGGAGGGGAATGAAAGGGGGGAATAGAACCACTGTGACAGCATAATAAAAAAATACTAAAAAAAAAGAAACTAGCATATTAAGTTGAAAGGTTAGTGAATACACACTAAGCATTGAAAGACCAAGCTAGTAAGTTTCGATGCACCAGGGACTGAGGCGTACAGATTGAGAGTTACCAGGTAGGCATGGGCATGGACACTACAGCACAGAAGACAGAGTGAATCCCGTTGTCTACGTGTACAAGATTCCAGGTGGGATCTGGCAATATGAGCAGCCAAACTTCATAAATGTACAGCTATCTAAAGACTCCATGAAACCAAAATGCATACAAAATAATTTAGACAAAAAGGGCTAGGAATTGCAAGTTAAACAATACTGGGGGTGCAAAAAACGAGCCAGTTTCCCTGAGTGTACACCTAACTGAGGCTAGTTCCCATGGTGACGCATTGGTGATTCCTGAAAACACTGACAGTGTCAGGAAAGAGGAAGGACCCCTTTCTCTGCCTAAATTGTGAAGGTCACCCATAGAAGCACATTGAATTTTATCCAAGTGGGAAGGCTCAAGAAGCAAGAGAAATGCAAGTATTTCTGAAAAGAGCCATCAGAAAACTGAATATCAAAGGGAAATCTGTACTGAAAATTATCTAGGAATAAATCGTCTCATTCAGCTGTGCAGCATGACTGCCAGGCTGATACCATATGATCTCATCTGTAAGCACAACCTAATGAGCAAAACAGTCAAGGGAGTACAATAGAGCCAGACATTGGCACCATAGAACAAAGACACAGGGAACCACAGGAGGAGTTAGGATGATACTCCATGAGTGCATGATGTGGAAGATTCAAGCAAAGGAACATGAATAGCAGACTCATGGGCATGGACAATGCAGGTGGATTCCTGTGAGAGTGGGAGGAAGGGCGGGCTGAGTGGTCAATGTGTGAAACGGGTGGGCAGCTGTGACTGAACAACAATAAATTAAAAACAAGTAAGTGAGGAAAAACAAGAAAAGGTTCGGAATTGAGTGTTCAACAATACCATGGGGGGGTGAACCTGGGAAAGATGAAGGAGCCTCTGCATAAGCATTGAAGACCGCCAATACAAACAAGGTAAATTTAGTTGAGTGGGAACGTTGAGCAAGAAAGGGATGAAAGTATTTCTTACAGAGCGACCAGAAAAGTTCACATGGAAATGATATTTCTTGGGCGCTCTATGTAGGGTATGGTTTCATTCAGCTGGGGAGCATGGTGGGGAGCTTGAGCAAGACTACTATAAAGTTTCAGGAATGTCTCTGCAATGGAAAAGCTTTCTTCACTGGAGGGAACTGGGTCTGCATGTGAGTGAGGCTACATGATGCATTAATTAGCCAGAGTCACAGACCAACCCCGTGAAAACAATGAGCTTCTGTCAGTGGGCCTTGGTCCACTTCGGAAGAAAGTATTCCCTCTGGCGTCCACCACTGTCAGAACGCAGCTACCATTGGAGGGCCTCCATCTCTTCCAGTGTGGCTGTGTCCTACCCCAATCTGACTTCTCCTCTGCCCTCACTGGAGCCAGTTCTGCAGCCCACTTCTTTTCCCTGTCTCCACTTCCTCCGCTGCATGAATCCCCACGTGTCTGCAGAGCCTGATCTGCACCTAGGACGACTTCAATGCACTCTCCACCATGTGTTCACAACGTTCCTCCATTGCCTCCTCTTAATGACCATGGTTCAGTGGTTGGTGGGGTGCACAGGACACATACCCAAGCATACCCAAGGTGGTTGTGCAGATCACAAGAGGACACAGCTGGGGCTGCAGGAATCTCGCAGGCCTCCTACGCATGTGCGGGAATGCAGGTGGGAAGAACACTGGGTAGGCCACAGGTCAAGGGCTGGAAGGTGGGCCAGAGGGTGGGGTGCGTGGCCTGGAGGGAGAGGTCAGGGTAGCCGATTTGAGGAGTCACTGTTGGTTCTGAGATACTCTGGACATGCACAGTCCTTGGTCCATGTCAGGCTCCCCCAGGCAGGAGGCAACTTGCAGCACACCAGTGATATGGTGCAGGCTCCCATTTGGAATGGAATGGAGGTCCACTCCAGGCTTCCCACTTTACCCCGATGACCTGGTGAACCTGGTCCCTGGGCCTGAGCCCTCCCTGCCTCAGTGGGCCAGGGTGGGGAATAAAATGGTCCAGCTGCCTTGTACCCCTCCACAGTCTGCTGGCCATGGTTTTCTCACCTGTCCTTTCTCTTCTGCTTCTGCTGCCCACTTCCTCACATAGGACTTCAGAGGATTGGAGCACAGGCCATTTCAGATGCTCCACTAGAGGAAACAGGAAAGGCGAGGAGGGGAGGAGCCCTGATCCAAATCCCGACTGCTGGGGAACACACCAGGAATCTCCATTGCACTGCCAGGATGGCCTCACCTCTGCGATCCTGGCCGCATCCTGCCCAGCTGTGGTTAGAGAAGCAAGCTATGCTTAGAGAGCTCAGGGCTGCTGGTGTCGGGTGCACAGCTGTAGGCCTCTGGATCCTCATGATGTGCCATGAAGTGGGAGGGCAGGAGGACACCCTAAAACCTGCAGGATGAGGAGCAGTTGAAAAGAGGACCGCCGGCGTTCACCTTCAACCCACTCGCTTCTGCCACTCATTCAGGGAACCTGCCCATAGTAGGGAGGCTACTGAGATAGTCCTTCACAATCACATCATTGAAGAAGCAGGGCTAACTGGGAAAGTGTTGTAGGAGCTGGCAGTGATCACCGCCTTCATCCACCTTCAGGGAAGAGTGGAGGGGGAGGGAGAAATGCCTCTCCGAGGTGCCCACCCTTCCTCTTTCTGGCCATAGGCCATCCCCCCAAGTTCCCTCCCCAAGCCCTCCACCCTGTTCGCTGCCTCCCTCCATGCAGCAGCCTCACCTTCAAATGGGTCCTGAGACTTCAGCACATTTTCCTCTTGGTCCCTGATCACAACTGTCAGCTCTAAGTGCCTGACAAAAGGCTCCAGGACAAGGAGCCTGCAGCCTGGGTCCTGGGCAGGGAGCGGCCAGGAAATGGGAGTGTGCCTGGAGAACAGCCTGGCATCCCATCCCCTGTGTTTCCCCTGGATCCTGCCCTTGTCCTCAGAGGGCAGTGAGGTCCATGGTGGCTCCTCCTTTCCTCCCATGGTAGGCAAAATAACAGACAGGCTCCTTTCACACA